CAGAAGAGCACTCACTTGCTACCCAACTTCCAGTCCAACCTCATTTTCAGGTCTCTCCTTGAACTTGGCAAGTTTGCTTTTATTCAATAAAGTTGCATAATCGGCCTATCCCTGGCAGCAAGAATCCCTCAGTGTTTTATTTTCCCTGGAATAATAGTAAAGAGAAAGAAAAGAGGGTAAATTTTGGCTTTGGACTGGGGGCCACTTGTTGGAGGCTACTCTTTTCTCAAATAAATCTACTGTGTATCTTTAAACATTAAAGTATGAGGACCATTTACCTTGTACTTTGCACTGGCATCTTTTTTTTTTCTTTTCTTCCTCTCTCCTTATTCTCTTCTTCCTCTCTCTCCTTTTTTCTTTTTTGGTCCCTAGCACCCTGATCAAAAATAAGTAAGCTACAGAGACCAAATTGATTTTGTGAAGAATGTCTTGATGATACTAAGGTTTTGAGAAGATCTTGTAAAATCCAGTCATATTCACTGAGAGAAAATGTAGAGGCTCCTGTTACAGCTTTCTGGTTTCCTCTCTCATTTATTAAGTTATGATTCTCTGTATGCACAGTACCTGGGTTTGTGTCACTGATGTGGACTTTGCAGCTTTGTAAATTTCAAGCCTGCATTATGCATGTTTTAATGAAGAATGAACTGTGAGTCCCGGGGAAGCCTCTGGTTCAGCTGTGCCACCAGTCCAGATGTGCATCTGGCTCTACATCATGTCATGTACAATGCCGGCTGGTGTCTTTCCAATGACATCTTGTTAAAGAATCAAAATCTGCGATGAGGTGTACAGTAAAAAAGAGTAAGTTAGGATTGTGGTTAATTGTGCAAAATAGCTTAAAATGAAACCTGAACCAGGAGTCTTGCTGACAAGAGCCTGGTGCTGCTCTAATCGGCTGCTGTCTATGAAGCTGCCTGTGCATGCCACGCTTCCACCTTCTGTTGCTTGTCGAAGTGCCAACTCCTCTCCCAAAGGTGTTCAGTGACTAATGCTTTGGTTCCAAGCCAGAATATTTTATGAACGTCTATTTCTAAGCAGCTCTTGTACAAGTCTTAATTAAACTTTAATGTCAAGCTGAAGTTTACTTTTAGAGAACCTTGAAAGTCCCTTTGGTTGTAACACGATGATAGAACAGTAGGGAGAAGGCAGCATCTCTCTCTTCTCACCATTTAACATGCACTGCCAAGAAGATGCACGCTGGCTAAGCCCACAGGCTCACAATATGGGCAAGCCGCACCATCTCCTCAGTGCCGGGATAGCCCATGAGCACTCAGTCAAATTCCTCCAGGATGAAATGATAGCCAGGGCTAGAATGCCTACTATTTCTTACTACATGTTCGTTGTGCTGTTTCTCAAATCCAAGACTCAGGAAGGAAAATTGGTTTACATAGGGTGTCCTTTATTTCTTCCTCTTCTTTTGTATGGATGCTACATGCGGGGGGGAGAGGGGGAGTTAAAACCCTGCCGGATGGATTACTTTTCTCTACCTATACATGGGTTCTAAGAGGAAAGCCTATAGCCTCTGCCAGGTGAAATAAAGGAAGCCTCTGTTGAACTCAGAATGGATCTAGGTTTGTTGATGCGGACATGCAGTCATAGCACACTCAGGAGCCTGGGATGGGATCATAAGTTCAAGGCCAGCCTGACCTACACATCCATCACATGACTATTAAACACACACACACACACACACACACACACACACACGTGCACACAAGTGCACACAAATACAGTAAAATACAAAATAAACAGCAAAAATAATGGATTTTTAGTTAAGTCTAGTCATATCACATTGCTTGTTTGATTTGAAACTATTTTTATCAGCCAAATAAGTTCTATAGCAGAGGCCAGTCAAATCTTTCCTACAAAAAGAAAGTAACATTTTAAATTTCTTGGACAGTGCACTCAGTCTCAGTTGCTCATCTGTGTAAAAGTGAGAATGGCTGGATTCAGTAAGACTTTATTTATGAAAATAAGGGAATAACTTTTATCTTTACGCAGGAGTTTCCAGATGCCTGCTCTATTTGACATTCTTGCTTTGTATATGGCAATCATTTAGTTTAGCTTTATTTTTATAGGTAAAAATAGTTTCTCATAGTATATCTTGTGATATAAATTTATTTTCTTAGTATAACTTATTTTAGTTCCCTACACCAACATTCAGAGATTTTTAAGGAATTAATCTTATATTAAAAAAGTTCTGTCAGATAAAAAGAAATACCGGAAGGGGAGGAGGAGAGGTGTGGAAAGAGAGAATCCACAGCAAAACTACATGTATGTATTCAGCACCGGACTATTATCGTTCAGCAGTGGAAATTGCTGACACCATGCTGATCACAGAGGGAAAAAATAAGAAGGGGAATAACTCCTAGAGTGGATCATAGACATTTGCAAACAGTGATTAGACTAATTTTATTTATGAAGCTTTGAACAAAAGGAACTACATTCAAAATCAGTTACAGAAAAAGATTACATACTCTCTAATCCCATATATATGAAATGAAAACTGGGCAAAACTAGAGTAGTAAATTTTAAGAATTAGTGGTCTGGGCAGTAACTGGGAAGGAGCCCTGCCCCATGTATTTTCCACGTGGATAGTGTCTTTTCTTGATTTGGGTGCCAGCTTCATACAAGTATTCATTTTATCACAGTTAATGAGATGTGTGTGCCTTAGGATGTTTGCTTCTTTCTACACAAATAGCTTTGATATGAGGAAGTGTCAGAATAAATGGGGCAGAATTTTTATGTTGTGAGTGAGTGGTGGTCCAGTTTCTTAGAAATATGCTATGGGGGTTTTCAATGTCAGGGAAGGGTTCTAAGCTACAACTTTATTTATCTGACGTTCAGAATACTTAATAATTTTGGAAAGTAATTTTTCCCTTCCAGTATTGACTTTGCCTGAGTTGTATTGTGTCATTAGTCTGGTCATTTCAGGAGCTGTATCACTTATGAACATATTTGGATGTGGACTAGAGTGGAGATCACATTACTTTATAGTGGGACATTAAGTTCCTTAAGGAAACATTTGAAATATTTGTATCATTTTAGAACAGACAAGCATGCCCTCAAACTGCAGTTTCACAGACTATATGTTGAAGATTTCCTAAGACTTTAAAAGTGAATAACATATCCAATACTTTTTTTTGGCTTTTTATTTGTCTCTTGAATATAACTCAGTCCTTTTCACCTGAAACACATTTTTTTTTTTTGTTTTGCACAGTAAGTATATTTCTAGGCGCATAGGAAATTCACATAACCATGATCCAGTTTCTTGCTTCCATGAAAATTTAGACTCATGGTGAGAGAAACTGACTTGGCATTGTCAAATATGCTTCTCGGTGTCTCCTGGGTGTTACCTGCTGTGTAACTGGCCCTCAGGAGCAAGTGTAAGCTAAGCCGGTGCACAAGGGGGAGGAAATGATCAAGGTGGAGGGAGCATGGAGGAAGTCGGAAAGCATCTGTGTGGGGGCTGCTGTCTGGAGGTTGATGCAGCTAAGACAAAGGAATGTCCCATGCTATGCAGTGGAAAGTGAGGCAAAGGCAGACCCTCGAGGGCCACAGGGTCATAATGAGAAGTGTCGATGCTTCTGTCTCTCAAAGTCACTGGCAGCACTTGCACTGCCCGGGCATTGTGTAGTTGGTTTGATGGCAGAGGAGAGAATGAATGTGAAACAGAAATCCGAAGGATAATCCACGTTGACTCCAAAATGGTCAGCCTTGAAGAGTAGCAAACCTGAGTATCAGATGAATAGAAAAGCAAAGAACAGCAATACCTTTCCCACCCTGGACAAAAGTGGTCCTTGCCTCCTCTCCAAGAGCTGGTCATTCCCAAATTATTTCCAAATATTTCTAATAGTTGTTTACAGTTATTTGGAAATATGTCCCGTATCTTTCCTGTGAGGCAGGGAAATGCATTTTAACAACATGCTTTGTGTGACGGCGATGGTGGCTGACTTATTACAGTGAGACCCTCAGTCTTACTAGGTGATTCATCCATCTCCCAAGTATTAGATTTAAATTAGCGATCTGAAATGTGTTCTTAAGTAACCCTTTATGCCTCTTGTCATTAAACTGTCTCCACCTGGTTGCTTTGGCATACAGCCTTCTCCAGTTTGAATTAATTAATCCAGTTTTTCTAATTTTGGAATTACTTGATGGCTCTGGGGGGAAGTTTCGAAAATCATAGCATACTGTAACTGCAAGTTGTAAGGATTTTATATTTTTATTTTCCTGCCTGGAAAAGGTGGACATTGTGCTCTGCAGAAATGAGCAATTGGCTCAAGGGCTTAGAATAGTCTAGGTCTGTAGCTCTGAATGTCTCTATTCTGCTCAAAGTTCTGCATACTTGAAACATTTTAGGGATTCCATGGAATGCACTGGATCCAGATCTTCACTGAATAGTAATTTTTATCATCATTATAAATTGGATTGCCAAGGCCTAGCTGAGCTAACTAAAACCTCTATCCATGTATCTAGATCTCCAGTGACCTTTATCTCTCAGTTCACAGGACATGGAATCATTTCTGTGATTTAGCTTTATCAGAGGCAACCAATTAACTGCTTCAGAAGTGTGGTCTCCTTCGATGGATCCCTGTACCAACAACCATGCACAGGCCAGAGCAGTACTATGCTGTACTTCTGCCAAAATTCCCTTATGGTTTCTCATTTCCTTTTCCTCAGTTTCCCCTCTTCTAATCTTTAGCTTAGGTAGAAGCTAGTTCAATCAATGTCTTTTCAAAGATTATAAAATTTACAAATAATGAGGAAGTGTTAGTTGAGCAAAAGGGCATTAAAACGATCATTTTATAATAATTAATTAAAAATCAAAACATAATAATATCAAACTTTTCTTTGAGAGCAACTGGTTGAACGTATCTGAAATGAGAAATGGAAGTTTTAAATCTGTCTGTATGAGATCATTCATGGTTTTTTATGTTAATGGTTTATTTTCATGAATTTATATATGGAGGGAGAAATTTTTACTGCAATTACTTAATTTCTAGGCCATATGAAAATAAAACCTATCTTGCTGTTGGGAGTATGAAGACCATCATGCTAAATGTGTCCTTGTTCAATGCTGGAGATGATGCTTATGAAACAACCTTGAACATCCAACTCCCTACAGGCCTTTATTTCATTAAGATCTTAGACCTGGTAAGTCCCAGAAACGATGATAGAAGAATGTACTCAACTGTAAAGCAAACGTAAGTGCCGTATTTACTCCATCTATTTAGTATAAACAACCGAAGTTGTCATCTAACGCTTTGGCATCATAGACTCTCATGGTTAATTTGAGATGTTCTTTGTGCCCTATCTCTGAGATCTCTTAAGTACCACCTCTGCATCCCTGTCACATGTTTTTAAGATGCCAACAATGCTCATCTTGGAGCATCCTCCATGCTAAGAAACCCAGAATCCATGCTCTACATTTTAGGTTGAGGTTCTCATCCTTTATCCAAGTCTTCTGAACTATCAGCCTCCCTCAGTCCTGAAATCCTCTTTTCAAGACAGGTCCCAGAGTACACATAGATCTTAAGATAACATAGCATTCCAATTATTGTCATTTTAATCCATCAGTGAAGTATTAGTAAGGTTGAACTGCAAAGAGAAAAGCCTCCTGCACATTTGCCTTGAGATCTCCCTATCATCTAGCCAGTCAACCCCAGGGAACTTTTAACCTTTTAAAAGTAGCTATTTACCCCTTCCCCTAGATCACTGTGAATCTACTTCAAAAGGAGGGGGAGAAATTCTAGGTACTCGGAGCCTATACTTTCATATATTTCTATTATTATTACCACACTACAATTAATACTTTAAAAACATTTCATGTATATTAGAAAGAAGTACGAACCTTATGAGCTTTCTTGTTCCCTAGTTTTTCAAAGAATTTCCTTTTAGATAAAATGAGAAACATGAGAGCTCACACCCAGGAGCTGTTAATGGAGAATTCACATGGGTACGAATACATGCCTATTGCTTATGTATACATATTTGTATCATCTATTATAATTCCACATATTATTATTCCCAAGCTAAGCAGAAAATTGTTTCCTAAGAAAATATTTTTAAGAATCATCCCTAAACATGTGTTATAAATGTCTTATTTCTCTTTTTTCTAACTAATTTTTTTTCTTTAGGAAGAGAAACAAATAAACTGTGAAGTGACAGAAAGCTCTGGCATAGTGAAACTTGCCTGCAGCCTTGGTTACATATATGTGGATCGTCTCTCAAGGGTAAGCATTTAAGCATTTGCGGTTTTCATTTGCTAATAGGAATGCGTTCTCCTACTTTATGCTGCATTAAAAAATGTATTTTTGAACTTAATTGTGGAGCTAAATGAAACCAAAGTGTTCTGAAATCTTTGAGCCTTGTGTTTATATTCTTGGCAATACTCATTGTTTGGGATGGGGGGCAGGGGGTGGGGGGTGTGAGCAGGGAACCTGTTTATGTCAAGACAGGCAAGTAAATGTGTCAATCAGAATGCATTTTGCCTGTTCACTCTTTTCCAACACCCCCACCCCAGGTGGCCCTGTCTGCCAGGCATGTTACCTCTGCTATACAAAAAAGGTGTTTTTGGCAAGAGTCCTCAACCAAGTTGTTAAAGCGTTCCTAATGGTGTCCGTCTGGGCCTGCCAGTCTTTACATTTAGAGAAGGCTTTGTTTCTGAAAGTGATGCATAGAAATGCTTATGCTTTGAAACCAACAGTGTCTGTATCTTGCTACTGAGTGAAGGGTGGAACTTCAGCCACTGTGTTTTTCTTGAGAAACAACAAAATCTATTAAGGAAAATGAAAATTCAATCTATGAAAATGGATTTTAGATTAAAAAGTGGGTCTTTTCCCCTCTTCTTTCCAGATAGATGTTAGCTTTCTCCTGGATGTAAGCTCACTCAGCAGGGCAGATGAGGACCTCAGCATCATCGTGCAAGCCTCCTGGTATGGTTCAGTGGTCAAGAAGTAGTTGTCATAAAGGACATGCCACATTCTAGTGATGGCTTTAAGGGATTCACAAAGCTCTGTTCTGATACTTGTCTATAAAATGGCAACAATGTATATAATGAGAGCAGTTTCTACCCAACCATGCCTAAAATGCCTTGCTGCCATTTCTCTCTCTCTCTTTTTTTTTTTTTTTTTTTTTTTTGCTACTTTCCCCAATGCTACTAAAGAGCCTTCTCTAAAGTCTGCATAGTATGCAGTTCATGCCCTCTGATGTTGGGTTCTCATACGGTTTTCTGTTTCTACAGTGAAAATGAAGGAGAAATGGACCAAGTGAAGGACAACAAAGTGACATTAGTGATACCTCTGAGATATGAAGTTATGCTGACTGTTCACGGGTAAGTAGAGACAGAGGCCTCTGGATTAGAGAGCATTTTCACTACTACTTTTTCCTTCTATTGATGACAGAAGTGTGTTTGGATACATTTGAGTGGAAAAGATACTGTGTCTCTGTGATTGCCTCTGAGTGCAATGGCTTGATTGGTGATTCATTATTTTAATCCACTCTGTAATCATCTCTGATGCTACATCAAACTCATGGCCAGCTGCTAGAGATTTTGTGCTGGAAGCGCCCCAGTAAGCTTTCAGCAGACCACGGTCATCATTCAGTTTGCAACCAAGGGGCGCAGAATTAGGTAGTATGCAGCTTTATGGCATGGTACCCAGTGGCCGCACCAGGGGAGACACAAAGGACTATGCACTTAGCCAAACTGCCACTCTCCAGAGCCCACATCTATCTGTGTGGCAAATGACTAAGACATAACAGAGCAGGCTCCTGTCTATTCTTGAATCCAGAGAGTACTCCTCAGTCACAATCCAGGGGCCAGCTTTATTGTTTCCTGTGGTTTTAGTAATTTCTAAGTGGATCTTTCTCTGATTCAAAATATGTGGCTACAGAATGTAAGAGGGGAATAACAAAACCTTTCATGACTCCTCTGGCCAGTTTTTAAGCTATTAGTCTGTATTAAACATTTTTGTTGTTTTGGGGATAGAGTTTCTCTCTGTGTGGTCCAGCATGGCCTGCAACTTGTGTAGATGAGAAGGATATTCTAGAGGTGTTGGTGATCATCCTGGCTCTGCCTCATGAAGGCTGGCTTTACACACGTGTACTAGCATGCCCAATAATCATTGCACTACAAACATTTAACTCTGTATTTCATGCAACGTATTTTGATCATATTCATCCATCAACTCCTCCCCCTAATTCTACCTAAATCCACTCTACTTCCCTAAAAGATCCCAAATTCATGTCATTAAAAAAAAAATTCCAATTCATGCTACCCATGTATTCGTGAGTGCGGGACCACCCACAGAAATGTGTGTCAACCTACCTGGAGCCACACACATAAAGAATACTGACTTGCGTTCTGCAGAAAGCCTTAGCTGTCCACAGGTTTTTAGTTAGGGATGGGGACACCTGGGCCACTTCCCACTTCATGCTAGATGCATACATACATTTTGGAAACACCAGAAGATATGAATTAACAGAATAAAATGGGCAAATGAATCTTATTTATTGCTCTAAATATAATGCATCCCTCCATCATTTTAAGCATGCATGAAGAAGGCATCCAACTGCATAAAATGTCACTTTCTGTAACTGATCGAATTGAGTATCAGTTGTAGGAAGGAGGGAGAGAGTGGTCCTTCTGGGAAAAGCAGGCCTGGAGTCAGTAGTGAAGCAAACCAAAACTGACACTGACACTGACACTGAGTATACATGCTGCTTCTCCATTTCCACTGTTCACATGTTAGGATTTGAGACAAAGATAACAAGTATTAAGCTGCACAAGTATGTGTCCTTGGATGATTTCTGATACCTCTCCTGACTCCTGGATTCCTGAATGTGAGAGACTCCTAGAGTAGGGACTTCCCCACGGAAGAGCTTCCTCAGTGCTTGTTGATCAGCACACATTTGTCTAATTGGAGGATTAAAAAGAAACAAACAAACAAACAACAACAACAAAAACTAGTGTTCTAGCAAAAACTTTATCATGAAAAGTTGGTGTTTGGCTTGTTCCCAGAGTTTTGAGGTTTGGCAGCAGCAGCCATCAAGAAATAAACAGGTTAGATGGAGCTACCACATACTCTACATGCCCTAGGGAAAGTTAAGGCTTCAGCTCAGACTTGTCAAATTTGCATGGATCATTTTAGGGCTGAAAAAAAGTGCAAACAGCAGCAAGCCAGCAGGTGTGGGAAAGGCAAGTACATATATTGGTTAGAATAGGCATGGCCCCTCGGGTCAGAGACACGGCCTTTCTTTTTGATCAATTATTAGAGCTTTAATATGACCAAGAAACCAAGAGGACTCTGTGTTTCCTTTTAAATGTACTATATTCCACTTCTAAAGACAGACTGTACAGCCCCCCATCAAAAAGACAGTACATTCAAGCTGACCTTGTTTCTGGCAGGTTTGTGAACCCAACTTCATTTGTGTATGGATCAAGTGAAGAAAACGAGCCTGAAACATGCATGGCAGAGAAGCTGAACTTCACATTCCATGTAAGTGAAGCTGATTTTGTTGCCGTTTGTGACAGATGGAAAGGAAGAAAGAGTTGGTCTTATGCCCTGCACCATGGGGATTCCTGTTCCCTCAGCCTCAGTGACTTCCCTCTTAAACTTCTGTTGCTTTTCTCCTTTCTCTTGTCTCAAATTTTCTTTCTAAGATACATGAATGCCTGGAACAGGCAGAGTTGGGGGTCTCTTGACCCTTCTGAAGATGCATTCAAGGCAGCAAGCCAAGGGAAAACATGGTTGGGAGTAAATCAGGAAATCTGTAGTTAGAAAGCATTTACCTTACCTTTCTCCAAGATCGATATGGTTGGTCTGCCCTCCAGACTTCTGGATTAGGACAAGCTTCATCAGTATTGAATGACCTTTTTTTTTTTCAGTTCAAAAATACTATCATATAGAAGTGTTAATACACTAATATAAAACTAATTTTTGAAAGTTTAGCTGGTAAGCAGAAATTTTAGCTGGTCACAGATTTAAGAGGAAATGTCTACAGAAATATTTGTTTTAATCAAAAGCACTGTCCAAGCATTGTTTGGGTAGTATAACAGTGTATAGAATGCAAATCTTGGATTACATAGTGAAAGTGCCAGTGCTTACTTACTGGGCCAAGGTTACCAGATATGGCTAGTGAGAAATGAAAATCAGGCATAGGTTGGAGGGCCTGTTTGAACTGACTAAACTGGAAAAATTCTGACTGGATATTCTATCTGCTTTGTTGGGTATCTGCCAACTATACACCCTCCACTTTGGCTAGTAATTCTGCATTTATAACTATGGGAAAAATTAAATCCTGTTCTTTCTTTTTCAGGTCATAAACACTGGCATTAGCATGGCTCCAAATGTTAGTTTGGAAATAATGGTACCCAATTCTTTTCTCCCTCAAACTGATAAGTTGTTCAACATTTTAGATGTCCAGGTAAAAAGATGTTCCCTTTGTCTGACATAGAGTGTGTGTTAAATACCAACCCTTTATCCCAAGGACTGTTGTGAAGATGGAGATTCCTATTCACTTTGGTACCACTCAAGCAGTGAATTCCATATACATTCACTGAGAGAACCCTGAACATAATACATTTCTTCAGGACTGTAGCCCAGAGGTGACACCTGCACTGTCGTGCACAAGCAGAAAACCTGCTCCTCTATCTTTATTAATTGTTTTCCTTGATTTCTTTGGGACATGAACCTGTGGAAGTGATAAAGTTAGTAGAATGTTCCACAAAGCTTGAAGCCACTATGGCAAGAACAGGAAGGCAAGCCCTCTTTAAGGAAGTATTTGAATCAGTTCTTACGCCAATGATTTCACCTTGGTTCATGAGATTTCTTTTTATTCCATTTATTTATATGAAATTTCATTTTACATTCCAACCATAGTTCTCCCTCCTACCTCTCCTCCTGCCCCTGTCACTTCCCCCCCAGCCCACCCCCCATTCCTCTCAATGGGTAATGGCTCCAATGCAGAGTCAACAAAGCCTGGCACATTAAGTTGAGGCAGGACCAAACCCCTCCACCCTGCATTAAGGCTGAGCATGGCATCCCGCCATAGGGAATGGGCTCCAGCAATCTAGCTCATGTATCAGGGATAGATCCTGTTCCTACTGCCAGGGTCTCCTCAGATAGTCCAAGCTTCACAACTGTCTCCCACATATGGAGGACCTAGTTTGGTCTCATGGAAGCTCTACAGCTGTCAGTCAAAGATGTCTTTTTACTTCTGAGTATCACACAATAGCAATTACCAGAAAAGTCTGTGTAAGGGAGTTTGAAATCTTCATTTGAAAATTTACTCGAATTCCAGATTTAGATGTTAGCGTGTATAATTATAGCATATTTTGTTCTGTGAAACCAAATCAGACTAATGTTCACCCACTGTTCCTCCCCCACTTCAGTAAAGTTGGACCTTGTTGTCAACCCAGGACCTGCTATAATTTTGTTGGGGTTTTGTTGGTGAACTTGCCAGAGATCTCATCTTTCCCAAATAATTCTGTCAAGAACACTTTCAGGAATTTGGAAATGCTTAATGTATTGTAGTAAAAATAATCAATTGAAACTTTTAAAATCATGCTTGTGTCAGCTCTCTCCAAATAAAGATTGTGTATGTTTGTATGTATGTATGTATGTATGTATGTATGTATGTATGTATGTATGTATTATTTGTATTATTTTCTGTCTTTAGGTGACTGCTGGACAATGCCATTTTAGACATTATAGAAGAGAGTGTACATCAGGACAGCAAAAAGGCATAGCGGGGACCTTGACAGATATAGTTACATTCTTATCAAAGACTGACAAGAGACTTTTGGTAAGTTTCTTCTTCAGATAGGCATTTCTTCCTTCCTACAAAAAACTAAAACATTTGAAACCAAATACACTGGGGTTTTGAGCTGCCCGGTGGCAAGGGATACAATCTTGGGTGATGTTTCCACTAATAAGGAACAAGCATGATATAGTAATGAGATGGGCCAAGGGCTAAGTATGTGCTATAGGGTTTCATTTACCTAACAAATGTCTCCCATGTGCTACACAGACATTATACCAGAACCCTCCTGACAGCAAGACACCTAAGAAGCCATATTTATAGCAGGAGATTCTCATTCTTCCTATTTAGGTGACTTGATAAGAGAAAGGGGAGATGTTATGCAAAAAACAAAACAAAACAAACAAACAAACAAACAGAGTGTTTAACTTAGGGAGATTCTAATTTAAATCTTTCTTTTCATCCTGTCCCAGAAGGTTCAGTTACTAAGAATGACGGAAACACATGCTATACTTTGAATACTTTGTTATAATTTATAAAACAAAATGCTTATTTTATTTAAAGCAAGATGAGTTTTAAATACTATGAAGGGAAAATGATATTTATAAAAAGGACAGTTTGCTGAATGCCACTAAGGATATTTAAAAATACTTTATCATATTCACTTGTGTGAGTGTGTATGCTGGTCCTGCTTCAACTTGATATGGTAGACTTTGTTGACTCCCCATGGGAGACCTTACCCTTTCTGAGAAGTGGATGGGGGCTTGAGTCGGGGGAAGGTGGGGGGAGCAGGAAGAGGGGAGAAAGAGTAATAGAAAGCAAGTCATGTGTGCCTGTGGAGGTCAGAGGACAACTTGCAGGAGACAGTTCTCATCTACCAGTTCTGGGGATTTGAACCCAGGTCTTCAGGTTCGGCAGTAAATAATTTCATCTACTGCTGAGCCATCTTACTGACACACTAAGAAGATTATTAATCTATGTAAAGGATGTTATCAGATGTAAAATTCATATTTTTAAGAATTTTTTGAGAGAATATAGGTGTACTGCAGTATATTCGTAGTATTCAGAAAGCAACCATAGAGGTTGGCCCTCAACTTCTACCTCTTTGAGGTTAGCTGTCCCTTAAAATTGTTCTGATCTCACCATCCATCTTGTAGTATAAACAGTGATATTACAGATACAAGTAATCTTCCCCAGAGTTGCACAGGTTTGGGGGATCCAAACTCTCATTTATCCTCATACTAACTCGGCAGGCATTCTATTCTATCCAGTGAGCCATCTTCTCCAGCTGTTAATTTTTTAAATGTAGAAAATTTTAATTCAGTGCTTTTATATTCTCTTCAAGTATTGCATGAAAGCTGATCTACACTGTTTAGATTTCTTATGCAATTTCGGCAAAATGGAAAGTGGGAAAGAAGCCAGCGTTCACATCCAGCTGGAAGGTCGGCCATCCGTCTTAGAAATGGTGAGTCTAAAATCAGATGGATAACTTTGTGATGTAGATCTATAAACTTGGTCATTTTTACATTGACAGGATAGTATGGAAACATTCTACAAATTCTAGAGAGCAGAATACAGTTTGGGAATAAAGATTACATTAACTGACAGATAAACTGTGGAATCATTAGGTTTGTTTTAGAAAGCATGCCACTCTCTACAAACCCCAAGTAAACAGAGGAACTTGACTCCATTTCAATTCACATAACCTTAAATCATTTTAAAATATAATGTTTAAAAACTAAAGCCTAGAAAATTAAAATTTGATTTCAAAGAAAAGCAGAACTAATCCATCAAAATGTATCAACTAAACCTGGGTGTAGTTCATGCCTATAATCCCAGCACTCCAGAGGTGGAGGCAGGGGGATCACAAGCTTGAGATTTTCCTCAGCTACATAATGAGTTCAAGGTCCTTTTATTACTACAAGAGACTCAGTCTCAAAAAAGAAAAAAATCAGCTATAACAAAATTCAGTAACAAAAATACATTTTGAAAATTACAAACTTTAAGACTTCAAGTTAAAAAGGGATTAAATGCATCTTGGACTCTTCACTCTGAAAGAGCATATGTTTTATGAGGAGCTCTCAAATGACAAGAGAAAGCCTAAAGTATTTTTTCAGTTTCCCCACCAGGCCAATATGTATAGTGTCAGTGACCAGTGCAGATAAAGTCAGTCAATGGAGCTGTAGATTTCGTGAGAAGAATTTTGTTCCCATATTCTTAATTGTTTCTGCCCATGATAGCCAACAGAAACTGAGCTATTATACATCTAGTAGCATCTTTTGAAATTACCACACAGTGGTCAAAAGAATATTCATTAGACAGTGAAAGGAGAGATGTTCATTCATCTTAGCTTTAAAGTCATGTAACCAGAAGCAAGCCATTCAGCCTTGGTAGCTGCTTCTTATATGCCCCAAGTTTCTCAACAGGGGCACAACTGACATAGTGGACAGAAAATCCTTTGTTGTCAGGCTGCCATACACACTGCAGGGCATTTAAGAGTGCCCTACATGCCAGGCAGTTCCTGCCTCTGTACATGTTCTTACAGTCAATGGTGTCCCTAGACACTACATATTGTCCCTAGGTCAGTTCTCCTGTTGAAAGAATGCTGTAGGTCTAGGTGAAGTTTGCTATTTCTAGTTCTAAAGAGGCCAAATAACCTTTACCCAGTAGACTTTAACATTTTTGGGCAATCAACCTCCTTAAGAATCTAGAGACCAGAACCAAGGTATATCTCAAATGGGAGAGTGCTTGCCAAACATGCACAAAGCCCTGCGTGTGTGGTATTTCATACCTGTAATCCCAGCACTTAAGAACAGTAAGATTAGAAATTCAAGGTCTTTCTCAGCTAACATGGCAAGCTGGAAGCCAGCCTGGGTTACATGAGATCCTGTTTCCAGAAAAAGAAAAGCAGCTTGCTAAAATTGCTCAGTGGTGCAGCCCTTGCATCAAGCATAATGGCCTGAGTTTGATGGCCAGGAACCACATGGTAGGAAAACCACCTCCAACAAGTTGTCATCTCCCTCCATACGTGCATAAAAGCACATAAATGTCATTAGGTATTTTAAAGATTATATCTAAATACAATATTCTTACTCACCCCTATAAATGTACAAATGCATCTATTTTTTAAATATTCATGGAATCTGTAAAGCCTATTCACAGATCTCCAGTCTTTATGGATTCTGTCACAAACTCCCTACTTGAAATACTAAAGCTCAGAATTCACCTGCAGATGATCACACACTTGGATTTTATTATCATTAGAGCAAGATGTTGTCACTGAGACACTAAGTAGGATGCACATATTTCATTCATAAGCAAGTAAAAGGCAAATCTGAGGGAATGTTCACCAGATCAAGAAGACTTGTTTGTGGGTAAAATCTACTATTACTGAGAAAATTATACTGTTCACTAACAACATTGTATACTATACTCTGGCAAAAAATATTAAAAATCAAGTGATTTGCAAGATAGCCACATTTAATAAAAAGGGGTTCCATGAAATAGATGGTCATACTTTTGAGCCCAAAGGAAGCCATGATAGTTCAATAAGTTATAGACAGTCTAGATAGCAAAGGTGGCATTTATATTGGCATGTCTTCAGGAAATAAACAAAAATCCAAACTCTGTTGATTATTTCTTTTTAAAACAGGATGAGACTTCATCACTCAAGTTTGAAATAAGAGCAACAGCTTTTCCAGAGCCACACCCAAAAGTTATTGAGCTAAACAAGGATGAGAACATTGTCCACGTAAGATCACCCTCTTAGGTGCTGCATGAAAACTGTATGGGAAATAGTGAGAGGGTATTTATTTATTTAGTAAGATTCTAAGATATGTTTATTTTATTTTTCCTTTTTATTTAAATTAGAAACAAGCTTGTTTTACATGTCAGTCTCAGTTCCCTCTCCCTCCCCTCCTTCCCTGCTCCCCATTATCCCCCCTATCCCATCCCCTTTCTGCTCCCCAGGGAGGGTGAGACCTTCAAAGTCTGTCATATCATTTGGAGCAGGGCCAAGGCCCTCCCCCATGTGTCTAGGCTGAGAGAGTATCCCTCTATGTAGAATGGGTTCCCACAAGTCCATTCATGTACTAGGGATAAATACTGATCCACTACCAGAGGCCCCATAGATTAACCAGAGTGGGAAGGTATTTGTAACAAGTGCCTTTTGGGGATCTGAGCCAGGAGTCAGCGTGTGACCAGGTCATAGAGGACTTTCAACCCTTTACCCACATTTCATAAATGATGGGAAGCAAACAGAGAACAGTTTGGTAGCTATGAGAATGTGGAAGATGGGAGGAAGAGCCATAGATGGAGGCGTTCCACTCTCTGCTTCTGAAGGCTGAGACTAGGATCAGGGCAGGGTGGGGAGTTCTGGCCTCTGCAGGTGCCTGGGAGGCTTTTAAAGGAAATGTCAGCACTGCTGTTTCTGAGTGTGCATTTGCTCTGCTTGTGCAGGTCATCTTGGAAGGGCTCCATCATCAAAGACCCAAACGGCAATTCACCATTGTGATTATAACCAGCAGCTTGCTACTTGGACTTATTGTACTTTTATTAATTTCATGCCTTATGTGGAAGGTAATCTTTAACAGTTACTAATTTCTTGTGCTTTATAGACAGTCCATCTTTAATAATTACTAATAGTTAAACTACTCAGAATGCCTTTAATGTCTCAAAGCCAATTAGGCTCAGTATTCATTCTTCTTGTTTTAGTCACTAGATGAATGTTTAATACTGATCTTGTATTTATTCTAATTTCAAGAATCCATTTGGAAAATGCCTATAATATTGAATATCAATATGTGGTGGAATATGTATATATCACTCCCAAGTCCAGTGTTAACCCTCCATGCCCCATACTGATTATCACTTTTACGACTGTCTTCAGGGCTAGTGTAACCTGGGGCACAGTTTTAAAAGTATTCTACACTGGTTAGATATGTGATATGAATATTATGGGTTTGAAACTAGTTATCTAATCTGTTTTCAGGCCGGGTTCTTTAAAAGACAATACAAGTCTATTGTACAAGAAGAAAATAGGAGAGACAGCTGGAGTTATGTCGACAGCAAGAGCAACGATGACTAAAGACTTTTAGATTGAGAGAACTGAACAAAGACTCAGGTAGGTTAGGAAAAGACCCTGTTCATAAGACCCCTCGTAATTTCTCTTCGTCCAGGTACTTGTGATCTTGTAACGTACTATGTCTTAATGCAGGGAAAATCTTCAAGAAAGAAAATGCAAAATGGATGAGTACAGAAAAACACTAAAGCTATTGACTTACTCGAGAGAAGTGAACTTCAAAAGACAACTTGAAAGAAATTCCAGATTTAGCCAGACAGACTTAAAAAGGAACAGTCTTCCAAGAAGATAGTGACTATATGTGCTCATGTTAGTGGGGTCAATGACACAGAAAGGGCACTTGTTGGTTTCAAATATACTTTTGAGACATTTTCAAAATATGATGATGATCTTTGAAGCCATGTAGACTCTTTCAGAGAGCTGTTTCCAGATTTTCTAATGGATAAGTCATTTTAAAAAGTGGATTTGAAGATTGTTGTTGGTGGCGCGTCATCCTTGAGCTGTGTCCCTATGGCCCTTTGTCTGGCAGATATGAATTTTAAGTGCCTGGTGAACAGTATCAATGCAGAGCAGGGTAGCTTCTGGAAAAATGTGGCTTCTGGATAAGCAGCCAGCTATGGACTCTTCCTTGTATGTACATATGCTTTTCTAGAAGATACAATTACTGTCTATTTCTTTTATCAAGAGCATCTGGGATTTTTTCATATTTTTATTCAGAAAAACAATTCTTAAGAATTTTTCCTCATAGCAGATTCTAAATATTCTACTTTAGCTGATTCATGATGTTGTAATATGAACCGTAGCTAACTGGTGGTTTAAAACTGCAAAGAAAGATTAGGGAGCCAATATTTCATAAAACATTCACTGTTTCAAATTAAGCAAACATGAATATCTACTAGGATGTTGTTGTTTTTCTTATTCTAGTTAAATATATATTACCCAGGACTGTATACAAACATTGTTTTAGATATGAATAAGCCCATTCATAGACTGAACTGCAAGTCACTGATGCAGCTTGTATGCAGTGACATAATGTGACATCAAAATTCCCATGACATATGTACATTTGATGTTACACAAGGTATTGTTTTAAAGTGAGCTATTTTCTACTTGGGTTTTACATAATCATTTTTGTACTATTTATTTGATACATGTGGTTTGATAAATGCAAATTTTCATCCAGATCTATTATGTATAAGAAAGCTATGGCCAGATTTTGAACATGTGTTGGCTAAAAAGGGGCAGCCTTCCCTGTTAAAAAGAAAGATTGCTTTACAGGAGACCCCTGTTGTCAGCTGGCCCTTCCTCAGATTTCCTCATTCATGACAGTTGCCAGCTCACAAGCCTGTGGTCTGTGGCTGCAGAACAAGGGTATGCTGGGGTTTGGGAGGGGGTTGAGCAATGAAACTTGAGTACAAAACATCAACTCCGTGTGCAAGCACACACAAATATGTATATTTAATTAAATGTTTGTATTTTTAAAGGATTTCTTTTGTATAAAAGGTATATATTTATGGTTTCTCATAAAAATTCAAGTAGTTATCTCATGAAGGTGTCAGTATTAATATACAAAAATCAGTATCAGTTTTGACCTATTTTTTTAAGGTATGGTCTCTGAAGAAATTTAAATTTGGATCATTACACTGAAAACTGAGTGCTGTGACTGCCCAACCCTTGCCTTTCAGGTACAAAGGAACACAGCTACCTCCTGGGCCACAGTTTTGCCCAGTTACCAAGATATTTTATGTATATTTTAAATAAAACTTAATGTAAACTTAGAAATGTACCTATAAAATAAGCTTAAAGATCTTATTACTTCAAAAGTTGTCATTATGGGGTCGATCTGGGGTACAATAGCTTAAGTGGGATGATTTCTTTTTAATTAAGTAATTGCTCATAGTTGTATTGCTAGCTCCTTATGGAGTTTGAAATTTTATAAAATTTCCTGGCTACAGGAAATTGTAAGAGAATAACAAGAATTATCTTCAACAATAGTGATATAGGACAACATTGTTTATATTAGATCCAACAAATGCCTTCCAAAAATCAGAATTTGATTATTCATTGATTTCATATCTTTATCTTGATTTTCAAATGCCTAGATACTATTTTAATTCTATTATAGTAGATGTTTTAAATAGACATTTTCATTCAAAAATGTATTTTCTATTTGTGCATATGTTGCATACCAGATTCCTTCATAATAAATTTCTACTTTACACATTTCTTTTATATGCAATTACATGCTACTTTGGAGTCATTCATTTCTTTCAGGCTTCCTCCATAAAGCCTGATCAGTCTTGGGTGCAATCTGTAACGAACAATATAGGATTAATTATTTCATTTACCTGCCATTGTTATTTTTCACACACCTCATGAGTGTGTTACATAAAGGACAGATTGACAACCAACAAGCATACATTCATAGCACAACCACAAGCCAGCTATCTGAAGGACCAAAACTCCAACATCTGTGACCATTCAAGAACCTTCTTGACCACCTTTCCTGCCTGGCTAAGTGCTCCCCAATACCTCTGTGACAAGCCAGTTGTTTGAGAACACCCCATCTGGGGGTACCACACACACTTCAGCCTGCTAAAAGCCTTAAGGCTTACTAGGAATGAGTGTGTGGGTTCCTACTACTGATCATACCCATCCCTCACTCTTGTAAACATGTACAATGTGATAAATGCTTTGTAAAGCTTGACAAAATCCCCCATTACTTTATATGCTGACTTGAATAAAAACAGAACTTGATTTAAAAAGCAGTGTCCAACACAGTATTATGTTATTACAGCCCAATTTGGGGGAGTGGAATAGAGACTGTGGTTCTATATTATTTTCAAAAGGCTGAAGACTACACTCTAAGAGCAACAATGTAAATTGTAAATACATTATCTGTATAGCTTATGAAAAATAATGGTTTGCAATGCAAGAAAAAATACTCATGTTTGTATTTACTGAAAGGTGTACATGTCATTTTACAGTTTGCTAACTTAATCGTTTTTAATCTTCTCTTTTGGCAGCTAAGAGAAAGAATCCCTACATTCTATTATTAGTGTTACATCTGCTGTTCTATACAGAGAGTGGTGAAATAGTTGGTCTTACCTAATGTGGCCCTCAGATGCAGCTTCCATTAAGTCTCCATCTATATTCCAAGGAAAACCATTTTCTGAAACAGGTGCATGGCTGTGACCCTCTTCCTGCTCATTGTAGTCGTTGCTATTATTCCTTGGATGAATTTTTACTTCGTTAATGGTATAAGTCTCCTCAAAGGGAAAACTGAACTAAATAGAACAAATGCACACAAGAGTGATGCTTCCTTGTACCCCCTATTACAAATAAATGTCACCATCATATGGACATTTTTATCATCTTGAAGCCCTAATTAGATAGCCCCAGGTTTTCTGAAAAAAAAAAAAAAAAAACCTGGAAGATTTCCACGCTTGATAAGCTCTACTATATGATGGACAGTTCATACTCATGAAAAATTTCCAACAATAATGATGCTGTAATTTCAAGTTAATGATAGACTTTCCCGTTGATCCCACTGATTTCATTATTACCTTATTTAGCTAATGTGAAACAAACTCCAATGTAAGTTTCACACTTGGAATTCAATTCAGAAGAACCTAAATCTAAACTTATAGAGAGTACATACGAAAAAGGCAAAAGGCAATCAAATATGATTTCCCAGGTATCCTACCACCATTTTAACAAATGGACACACGGTAAAAGATAGTTGCTATTAACCATTCTAGAACATGCCACCAGGAAGGAATGTTCAAGTTGTACTTTTGCTTCATTGCCAAAGAAAATTATCAGGGTTTGGGGAAACAGTGAATCCTCATTTATATCTGTACAGCACCTTGTAACTGGAGGTTTCTGTCCTGCCAGGTCCCACTACCCTTGAACCCCAAATAAACACACAGATAGTATATTAATTATAAAATTGTATATAATGGCCCTAGCCATCAGCCAATCTATGTATTTCCACATGGTCTTGGCTTACCAGAGAATGCCTGGACCTGTTACTCCTTTGGCAGCGACATGGAGTCTCTTTGGCACTTCTCTGTCTCTCTCTCCCCAGCATCCTCCTCATCTCCTAATCCTGCCTATCTTCCTGCCTATACTGGCCAAACAATGTTTTATTTATCGACCAATAAGAGAAACATATACAGAAGGACATCACCCATCAGCACCTTCTTGCAAATAGGGTTAGGACTTGAATATCTGGGTTAAGGGGTAGACATGATTTAGTCCATAACAGCCAGTTCTTAGTTACTCATGGAAATGCATATCCTATAAAAAGAGTGATTATACACCAATGTCTGCAAGTATGAGGTAGGCACTGAAAGCTTTCCTCCCAATGCAAGAGATCTAATACAGTCATGATTCAAGTAGTCTCACTGAGACCCAGCCTGTAAGAGTTGCTTGGAGCTGAGGTGAGCATGGATTCCACTGTGTAACTCAGTTTACTGTGCAGTTTAAGCTGTAATATCTCCCACACCTTTGTTCTTTGTGTATAAATTAAGGGCTTCAGGGAAAACACTGACCCTTTAATTTGTTTTAAACAACTTACAGAAATTTCTGCTTCTTCAAGGTTTATATGCAGAAGGGGGAGGGGAGGCTATGTTTATTAAGGGATAATTCCCAAGCCACTGTTCTACAATCTGAAAGTATTAATGATTAGGAACTGCATTCCCAGTAAGACTATTTGGCTATATTAATTACTTTGAATAACTCAATTATAAAAAATTCAACATAAGTTGTACCCCGCAGCCAAGAATTCATACACTGAAGTTCTACTCTTGAGTGTCTTTTAGTTTTCTAAAGACATAATTACATTAAACACAGATCTATGTGGCAGAGCTTAATCCAACATGACTTATATCCCTGTGAGAGGTGGGTGTAGTTCAGTGTTTTTCTCTGTCCCCCTGGTCTCCCTGGACAGGCTTCTCTCCCGCTTGTAGGTCCCAATAGCCACTTATGAAATAATCTCTCAGAAGCTAATATTAAATATAATTGTTTGGACAATGGCTCAGGCTTATTATTGGCTAGCTCACTCTTATAAATTAACCCATTTTTAATAATCTGTGTATCATGACTTGGCCACAGCTTATGGGTAATGTTCTGGCATCTTACCCCTTTAGCAGCTACATGGTATCTCTCTGACTCTGCCTTCTTTCTTTCTCTATCTCTATTTGGATTTTCTGCTTACCTATATTCTGCTTGGCCATTGGCCAAATCCACTTTATTTATCAACCAATAAAAGCAACACATATTCACAGCACACAGAAGAACATCCCATATCATGTGGGAGTTTGAATTAATTAAAAAATACCAGGGATTCATTTGCCCCAATGGACAGCCACATGAAAGTACAGTTAGAGATAACCATGTTCCAAAGAGACAGTAGCCTCATGAGAAACTAAACCCTGTGATGCTTTCCTCAAGTCTTAGCACTGAAGTGTGAGAAAATGGTTTATCAAGGCCCATGTAGTCCACGTTGAGGAAATGGGATGTTGCCCTTGGTGTAGAGGTAAGCAGAGGTGAAATCAGCTATTTTAGTAAAACTCCTCAAGGAGAAATTAACAAAGACAAGGCAAAGAAACTGAAGATACATAAGAGGCCATTACAAGTGAAAAAAAGTAAGGTCTAAATTAAGAATACGGAGAAAATAAAAATGAGAATCAACAGAAGCAGTGGGGGTAATGTTGTGAGGAAATGGGGAGGGGTTTCAGAGAAACTGCAGTATGGGGAGAGAGTGCAGAAGGGAAAATTCAGGGTCAGCTATGGGTCTATTGAACCAGGAGGTCTGAACAGAGGTTTACAACACAAGGGAAGCACAGTGGTATTGCAGATATGGAGACATGCTTAGACCCTTGAAAGAGTGTGTGCTTAGACAGCAAGCAATTGAAATAATGGGGCAAAGAGATCACCCAGAAGATGGAATCCTCAGGAGGTAGAGTTCATTGAAAAGTTTTAAAATCACCTGCCGAAGGTGGCCAGAGAGAGCAAGAAATGTGGGGAGAGAGAAGAGCCAGAAAGAGAGTACAGTGAAAGGAACCTGAAGGGTAGTTTTCCCTTCTGTTTTCCTGAGTTAGGAGTCACTGCAAAGATTGTGAGGTGATCATCAATCTTCTCTAGTGCTCTTCACAAATATTAACATTCCAGCCATGAAAATTGTGGCTCAGAGCATGAAATGCTAAAATAATTTGGAATTTGTGTCCTTCACACATACCAGCACTGCTAGAGACTCATCACAAAGCAGAGAATCCTACTGTAACTAGCATATATGTAGTCTTTCTTACATGGTAAAGTTTTTTTTAAAATGTAATACATACTATTCATATTTCTACATTTGTTTATCATTTATGTAAATAATTATGTGAATTACATATGATTATAAATGTAATTCTTTACTGTAGGGTGAAATTGAGCTGGGGGCCTGGAGAGATGGCTCGGCTGTTAAAAGTGCTAGTTGCCCTTCCAGAGGTCCCAAGTTTGGTTCCCAGTACAAATGTCAGACAGCTCACAACAACCTGTGACTCCAGTTTAAGAAAATCCAACTCCCTCTTGCGGGTTCCACAGGCAGACACACTCTCTCTCTCTCTCTCTCTCTCTCTCTCTCTCTCTCTCTCTCTCTCTCTCTCTCTCTCTCTGTCTTTGTCAGTCTCTCTCTTTAACACCCCCTCTCTCTGTTCCTCTCCTGCTCCCTCTCTCCCTCCCAAGTGGCTAGAGTGTGTGGTCAACAATCAGCCTCTGATGGTTAGCTGGATTTACTGCCTCCTCCCATTTGTCCTCTCCTAACTATATCCAAGTACCATTTATACCCTTAGGAATGTCAGACTACACGGTTTTACAGTCATAACTGTGTACTTCCAGACTAACAGCTGGAACATAGTGTGAGCCCAAGAATATAGCTTATCACAGGTACTATTTCTCTTTTCATCTAAACACTTAAGTGGAAATATCTCTACATACATTTTGAATAACATCTATCAAATGAGTAAGCACATGTTTGCAAATCTATTGCTATACATGAATATGAGACAGGTTGTAAACAAATGTCAGGAAAATCTAAGCCATCATACATTTTAGAATCTGCTGTTGTAAAACCAAAAAGACAAAACTCTCAGATTTCACTGCTTTTCACTCTAAAGAACGGCTTGTGCATGTGTAATTGTACCCCTAACTTCCTTCGCTTTGCAATGTAATACTAGAATTTTGGTTTTTCTTTGCACAAGGGAAAAAAAAGCATATCCCATATGTCAAAAGAAGCAAATGTATGTTAATGCTGGCACACAAATTTCAAACTTTAAATGAAAGGGAAATAAAGATTAATGTAAGCCGAAGAAGATAAAGGTTTATTCATGAGGCAGGACTTGATGCCAGTCTCTGAAGCATCTCCATGACTGTACCTGACTATTTCTGCTAGAGTATCTTTTCAGGTGCTTTACAAAGTCTTGTCGAGTGGTGTTCTGTACAACTATGAGAGCCAGGCTTCCATTATTCAACCTGAAATTAAACATCTGCATGTGAGAATCAAGAAGTTTATCAACAGACTGTGTCTGAAACCCCCCATAATTCTGGCTAACAAGTATGATGCTCACTAGAGGATACAGACCAATATCGAGAAATCACCATGTTGAACTGACCTAAAATTTTTAAGCCACGTTTTGTTGTGCTCTTGCTGAAGTGAGAGAGCATTTCAAACTAGTTTTTATTAACTCCTGGGGTTTCTTTTCAGCACAAACTGACTTCAGGGCTCTTCAGAAATCAAACCTTCACATATCTCAATCACATCAAGGAGCAATATTAAATCTACCACAATTATTTAAGAATTCTAAACATGAAGCTATGTGTGCTTTTTAAAAAGCATATTGTGGCATGGTGTACATTTGCAAATTATCTGAGATAACCCACAGCAAGATGTTTTTCTAAAATCCAAACTGTGGTTAAAATGTTTATTTATGGGCAGAAGGTCTATGTGACATAGAAGACAGAATAAATCAAAAGGCCCTGGGTAGAGGAGATGGAGTAAACAACAGCTACCACATATGTTCAGCTAAACAACAGAACATTATAATCTTATATAATGCTTTGATCTAATAAGAGAGACTAGAAATCTAAAGGTGTGATCTAGTGCCAACATAGCTCCCCCCACAAATGCATTAGCTTTAGAATGCATTTTGCAGAAATACATGCAAAGAATTTCATGCTTAATTTCAGTGCAAACACAAAGTTGTCCCAAGAATACCAATAACATTACAAGGACCCTTTAAATCTATAGAGGCTCAGATAGAGTTGAGGAACGTTAGAGATCACCTCATCCCCATCATTTAGTCATTCTATGTAAGGATGGACCATTCCCAATGGAAGGCACACAGTGGCAGCCAAAAGAATTACGATAGCAAAGCTCTTATCTGCTGGATTAAATAGGGTCTAATACTCCTACTATGCACTGTGCTGTCTCTTCCTTCTGAAATCAGACAGCACCAGAATGTTCAAGGCATTGTCTTTACATGTCATTTTTCTTAGTTGTGTGATTTTTATAAATACTATCCCTTCTCATTTGTTCTACATGCTTGCATTTGGAAAAGAACTACTTTTAAATTTTAAAAAATGGACATTTTATTAAAAGAATGTGCAAAAATAGCACCTGTGATTCTGTAAGGATATAAAATGCCTCACTACATACTTCATAAAATGTAGCCAAGAGATTCCTATGCACCATAGTTCACACTAAGTGAACCAAAATGTCTCTGACTGAAAGCATCAACCTAACCCAGATCCCCTGCCAGAAGTACACGTTTATAACTGCTGAGCCATTTTTCCATTCTCATAGTAAGGGTATGCTTGTATTAAAATTAGATAGCAGAGATATTCACAAGAAATGTCAACATTTAGTAAAATATTCTCAACAATTAGTAAAGTGGAAGCAAACCAAGAAGGCACAACACAAAGTTGTGTCAATGAGACACAAGGAATACCTTAGTCAGAGGGTTAATAAAATGCCAGTGATTATATGGCAGTTTTTTTTACAGTTCAATCGTTGTTTCAACTGTATCATGTGGACAAATCCTTTAGGAAGATTTAATATTATTTGAAGGTAAACTACCTTTTACCCACAATTATCGTTCTTTCAAAAAACTAACACTTTATCAATTCTTTGAGAAGTTCACATATCATATTTTGATATTATTCACCCCCACCTCCTTCCCTATTTTTTTCCAGATCTATTCCCTACATTCTTACCCATTCCCAGCTTCATGTTATCTTTCATCTCCCAATAATATACTGAGTCTAATTTGTATTGCTCAACTTATAAATACAGGCTATCTACTGAAGCATGATCAATCTACCAGTAGCCACATCCTTAAAGAAAACTGACTCTTTCTCTCCTCATAAGCCATCAACAGTTAATAGCTCATCAGCTAGGGGCTGGGGTTCATGAGTCACTGCATGCACTATGCTAGAATGCTGACTGGTTAGATCTTACATAGATCTTGTTCAGGCAGCCACAGCTACTGTTGAGTTCATGGGTACATTAGTACTGTCATGTCTAGAAGACACTGTTTCACTATGCCCCCACCTCTGACCTCTGACTCTTACAATCTTTCTACCCCTCTTCCACAATGGTCCTTGAGTTTTGGTGGGAGCCAGGAGGATGATGATATGAATGTCCCATTGGTAGCTGAGCACTCCATTCACTGACATTTATTCTCTTCACTTCTATCAGAGAATACATGTTTAACACTTCTAGCTAGATAATAGTTAAAGTATTACCAAAGAGAAAATTATTTATAAATAATTTTCAAAATACTTGCCTGGTGTCAGGTATGAAGCCCCTGGGTGCCACTGAACAAAGACAGGGGATTGCCATGATACTGATGTTCAGGAACTGCCCTTGGATGGTTTGCCATTGACCATCATGGTATAAAGAAAATGGAAGCGAATGGTTACTTTCTCTCCCCAGTCACTAGTGCTGGGCAAGGCTTCTAGCACATTTTTGCTGACTCACCAGATACTGGAGATTGCTTTGCTTTTCTAGAAGTAACAGAAACAAAACCATGTTATACATATGCAAAGCTAGCATCCACTAGACATAAGGCAAATAGAGAATCCATAATTGTATGTGCAAAATCTTCCTCAATAGAATATCACTTAAGGTATAAATATATTATAAGGAACAATTTCCATTTCCTAATGACTATAATTCTTCCTCAATGTTGCTTCAATATTTAAATTCCATGCTACTCCAAAAATTCCCATAAGGGCCAAAACTGTGTGTTTGGGGCTCATGGTTTTACCCAAAGTCTAGAACATGGCAGGCACTCAAATAAGATATAGATGGGTAGATCAGTGGATGACTGGTTGTCTGACCATCAATCTGGAAGGATGGTTGTTTCTGAAGACAGGAGGTAAGCTCCATGTTTACTAGAAGATGTAGGAGTTATGTTTTATACTCTTCATTAGTGAGAAAATAGTGAAGAAGAACAAGTCTAGCTAACTGCTTATGTCAAGGTATTTTATTCTTTAAAGAAAAATAAAGTGATGCAGGATTAAGATCACAGACTGCTCTAGTAGAGGACCCACATTCAGTTCCTATCACCACATGGCAGCTTACAGTTATCTGTAACTCCAGTTTCAGGGGATCTGACACCCTCTTCTGGCCTCTGTGGGCACCAGACATGTGTGTGGTACATACATTCAGGCAAATCATGAGTGTGTACATATTTTATTAAAAATAAAGATGAGTAAAGATATCAACATTACACAGAGGTTTTTTTTTTTTTTTTTTTTTTTTTTTTTTTTTTTTTTTTGCCTTTCTTGTTCATCCTGGGAACAACCAGCTGGTAGAAACGATATCTTGCAATCCTCTGGTGTAAATAATGAAATTCATAATTAATAGTCATTGACTTTGGGATACAGAATTTTTTGCCTTAAGAAAAGCACTTACTGAAGTTTGGCCAATGTTTTGAGTACAGCAAAGTCTCTCCGCTGACTAGGGGACATCCATCAGTATTTCTCTGCCAGAGCCAAAGTCCTTCTACCAAAGCCAAACATGGCTGAGAAACCAAAGCGAAGAAGCTTACCAGCAGAGCTAAAGGTGCACACATCTATTGACTGTATGTGACCTTGAATGGGACATTCAGTACATCAGTGAGTGGTTGAAACCGCAGCCATCAGCGAGAGTGTTTATTTACTTAAGGAACATTGCCAGGTATCATACGTCATAGCTACTACCCTTGCTTTCTCTTCACCTGTCTTTACTATAACAACTGTAAATGCCACTATTAACTTTTCCAGGTGATGAGCAAAGAAGCTCAAAGTAGAAAATCTTATAGCTTTTATCTATTTCACATAAAATGAGATTAGTCATGTGATGCTGTAGTAGACGTACCAGGAAAACAGTTAATAATAGCTTTGCATTGCATTTATCGGAACTTGAATGCTCTCACATGGGATAATTTATGGCCTGCAGGTGTGCCCTTGTCATTTTCCTCTTGTGAAAACATGATCTTAGTCCTGAAGTCTTGGTGTAATCAAACAATAGTGCAGATTACATGTGTAAATAGTATGCATGGACGTTTTCTATTGTGTTTTAAAATTGTGATTTTGAACATCATTACTGATATTTTTCCATTTAGATTATAGTAAAACTTCATTTATTGCTTTTTCAAAGGAAGTAGTTGAAATGAAAGGCAATTTAGCTAGAGATAGCTTGCCTTTGAGCTTTAGTCAAACATTTCTATGCTTAGAGATGGAGAATTTACCATTCCCAGATAAGACTGACAGAAACACAATAATTACTTACATGAATTAAAGCTCCCTTATTCCACCTGGATCTCTCTAGAATTCTTACCCATTATAATGTGCATAGTTGCAGTCACCACATGAGGAAATCCACAAAGAGAATGTGCCAATACATTCGTAGATCCTGCCAAAACAAATTTAAAAATGCATATTTTCAGTAGAGTGTGGTTTCAACTTAGCGTGTGCTCACATTACACATAGGCACCACCATATAATGTTCAGATGAAAATTAGTAGAAGTTTATGAGAGAAAAGTTGATAAAAACATTAGAAATACAGCTTTTCATTCACAGCACATATGTATGTCAAATGTTTGCTGAACTGTCAAATTTCATTAAAAGTTGGAAAAACACCTCCCCTCACCCCTGGATACCTGCAGCAGGTGGGGTACCTGATTCAACCCTGCACCCATTGTAGCACTTAGGAGAGGAGGCCCTCTGCCTCACATGAACAGCACAGTAGAGTTGACCCTGTAGACAGGGGTGCGGGTGAGCCAGCCCCAAGGGTCTGAGAGAGGCATATCCTGTAACTTGAAGCAACACGGTGGTAGGGACAAGGGAAAGATGCCCTCCCCTCTTGCCCATACTGCCTCCATCTGGCAAAAGAGCTGACCCCTTTACCAGATGCAACACTCATGAAAGTGGGCCCTACAGGGCAGCACAGTGGAGATAACCCTGTTGATGAGGGCACAGGTGAGCTAACCCCAAGAACGGAGCATAGGAGACCTAACCCCACCCCTCATCTGCCATATGGTGGCATGGGTTGGGGAGAGATACTCCCCACTCCCTAATCCCATCTATCAATGCCTGAGGCAGGTGAGAGAGCTGGCCCTGAGGTAGTCAAAGCAACAGAACTGTTCCTGCCCTCATCATCTGCAGCACTGGGAGAACAGCCCCTACACCTTTCCTGGGCAACACAGCAGAGCCAGCCCTGAAGATATAGGTGTGTGAGAACTGACCCTGAGGGAATGGAAACAGGAGAAATGGCCCTGCCCCTGGCTCATCACTGAAAGGGGTAAACTAGCCAGAGCAATGCAGGAGAGCTCACTCTAGTGAAGACAGGAGAAGTAGTGGGGTGACCAACCCTGAAACTACCTAGGCCTAGAACCAGGGTTATATGTTGGCCCACCCCAACATCCACCCCATCTGTTATCTCCTGGAACATGGAGTGGGGGTGTTGGTCCTGTGTGACTCACTGTGTCACACTGCAACTTCCATGAGGAGATTCTCTCTCTCTGCGCTCCCTACTTTCCACTCTTAATGTTTTTTATTTGGAGGGGCAGGGAAATGGGTAAGATCAGGAGACATGATGTGGACACATGATGTAAAAGAACAAAGAATAAATAAAAAAAGTTAAAGCTAGAAAATACCACAAATATTAGAAAATTGTATTGGATATATCAGCTCAGTAGTACAGTGTTAGCTAGTGTACGTAAGGCCTGTATTACCTCTCTAGTATCACAAATTCAAGAACAGTTTATTGACTCAGAGATATTTTGGTCATGATACTGATATTTTTCCCTCAAAATTACAAGTATAAAGAAACTTACTCCATTTAACTTTAGTGAATAGGCCTTTTGCTTCTATACAAAAATGGGCACTAATAGTAGAATTTCTGTATTGGGTAAAGATGAATGCAAAGATACATAATAAAAATTAAGTCAATAATGAATAAATACATTACAATTTTAAACACTGAAAGGCATGTTCAAAATACATTATGTAAATCTTAAGAGGAAAACTCTCACTTCAAATGGTTTCTTTTCTATATCTGCGAGAAAATATTTAACTTGATTATTGCCATCTAAAAATGTGTATACAAAAATAATTTCCTATTCGCATAATCATTGGAATAATTGAAAATACTCTAGGATTCCTCCACCTCCTCACTGAAGGGAAAAGCTCCCTATGATGTTTATATGTGACCAAAATCATACAGGTCTGCTTTCAAAATCATACAGGACAGTAAAGGCATTGGAATGTATGGGAGAGAGTGAATTGGGCAACAGGTAGAAGTCAACTTTAGCTAGGAGCTGTGAAAGCATGGGTCTGTTGTATACTAGTCACCAAGGCAAAGACTCATTCCCTGGACTTGCTTAGGCAGGGGCATTTCTGTGACCATGAACAAGTGCTTCAGTTGTGTCTCCTGTAACTGTGTCCTGTAACTGTGTTCAGTTGCAGAAGCTGAAAGACTTCAGCCACTACCACTGGTCAACTAATATGTCATTAAAATAAGTAAGCATTAAAAAATAAGCACATTTTAATTACTAATGATAAATAAGCATAATTAAACCAAAACTCTAGCCATAACAATGCAACACCACCAAAGCTCACCACCAATTAGCTTTACTCACTGCTAAAATCATTCTGACTCTAATTACTTAAAGTATAGCAACCTGATTGTTTGCTGAATGGTACTCATTGGGAAGGAACAGCACTCAAATATCAATCTCACCAGTTCTATTCAAAACCATCCTAGGAGTTTTGATCGGAGCAGTTAGTCAAGAGACTAGATAAAGAAATTGGAAAAGAAAGAGTTAAATTGTCACTGGTACAAATAACAGGATCATTTGGAAAACACCAAAGACTTCAGTAAAATTGCAGGATACAACATTAATATATACATGTGGTGTTCTTATTTACTTACAGCAAACTGTCATAAATAAATCATGACAATAAAGCCATTTACAAATACTACCAAAGATACTTAGCAAATTTCCCTGAAGAAATAAAGGACTTGTAAGATTAAAGCTATAAACATCAATGGAAGAGACTGAAGGTGACAGAAATAAATGTATAGATATCTTGTGTTCACAAACAAGAATAGTTAACCCTGTTAAAATATCCACACTATCCTAAGAAGACCCTATCAAAAGATCCAAAGCAATCTCCATGAAAATTTACATAGTTGCTCATAGAAACAAAAAATATTCCTCTTTTTTAAAGAAAAAACAAGACTCCAAGTGTATACCACAATCTTGAGAAAAGAGCAAGCTGGTGGAGGCAGCATGTACCCTAACTTCAAAATCCACTAAAAACATTGAGACAGCATGCTGCTGACATTAAAAACCAGCATATATATCAACAGAATAGAATGCCAAGACCCCAAATGGAAAACTCCAGGACTTATGGTGAACTGATATTCCACAAATGTACAAAAACAAAACAACAAAATGAAGTTATAATCACTAAAACTGGAAGCTGGATGTCCACATGCAGGAGAATTAAATTAGACTCTCATGTAACTTGTACACAAACCCAACTGATAATGGATTAGATACTGTCAGATCTTCCGTGGGAGCCAACAGAGGCGGAGAACTCCATGATGTTGTTCTAATCCCAAAAGCACGATGACAAAAGCAAACATGTGTACATAGCCTCACTGAAAAGCTTCTGCACAGATCAAGAAACTCTCAATGGAATTGGAGATGACCAGCAGAATTGGAAAATACATGGGGAAGCCACTGGAGGATGCTTATTTTATTTCATCATAGATTTGCTTATCCACAGATAATATACCATTAAGATCCGACTCTGTTGTGCAAACTATTTGATGTTGGGGGCGTCTATGTTTTCAAAATTTTTCCCCAAACCCCTGAGTTTTCTTGGGAATTTTTTGGTTCTGCTGTATTGTTACTAGGTGACAAAAACACTTCAGCTTCATTATGAATGTACAGAACCATCACTGTATATAAAGTCTGTCTTTAACCAAAATGTGATTACACAGTGCACTGACTATATGCCTACATGCAATGAACTCAAAAGTCTCATTTAACTTGACAGATCATTTGATTTAAAAGAAAATGAGTAAATATTATGACTATTAATTTCACTAAAGAAGACATACAAACAGCCAGTGGGTACATATCATCACTAGTCACAGAAATAAAAATTTAAACCCTAATAACTTCTCCTTTGGTTATTTATGTATTAATGTTGGGATGATACAGAGTTGAAGAGCTTGATCCTTGAACAATGATACCATGCAAATTATTGATATATTCCATATTCCTTTTTTTCTTTTTTCTTTGGTCTAGTTTTTCAATACAGGGTTTCTCTGTATAACCTTGGCTGTCATATAACTCACTCTGTGGACCAGGCTGGCCTCAAACTCACAGAGATCCTCCTCCTCTGACTCCCAAGTGCTGGGACTAAAGCCATTCCACAACATCCAATACCGAAACAAGATAAAGACACTAACAAAAAAAAAAGAAAAGTACAGACCTATTTCCCTGATGAACATGGATAAAATTCCCCACAGAAGCTAGCAAACATAATTAAACAATGTGTCGAGAAGATCCCATACTGTCAGCAAATTGATTCTATTTTAAGAACATAAGAATTGTCCAGAATAACAAACCAACAATACAGTTGCATAAATGGACACAAGGACAAAAATCACCTGATCATAAGACCTAAAAGCTCAAAACTGCTACAGGAAAATACAGGTAGAATAGCTTAAGAGATGGGCATATGCAAAGATTTTCCTGCAAAGGATTCTAACAGCACACTAAATAGCCTAAGAATTAACAAGTGGATTGCATAAGAGCGAGGCTTCTGCACAGCAAGGGAAACAACCACCAGGGTGAAGAGATGGCTACAGAATCAGAGAAATTCTTGGAACACATCAGAAAGGGATTAAAATCTAGAATATGTAAAGAACTGTAAAAAGTAAACACAAAACTAATGCCTTTTAACCAACAATGAATGGAATGAACAGTTCTCAAAAGAAGAAATACAGATAGCTTGCAATAGCTACTTGGAAAGGTTTCTATTATCCTCAGACATGTGGAGGGGAGCTGCAAATTAACTGTTTTTGAATTCTATCTCATCCCATTCAGCACTGCCATCATCAAGAAAACAAATAACCTCCAAAGAAGTGCCTGTATCACCAGAGGAGAGGCCACTCCAGCACCCAGATGCCCAGATAAGCCCTCCCACCCCCTACTGGTGGGCTACCAATACTCTCCCAGAACCAGCCCAGCCTGACCTCAATAAGCCCTTCTCCTAGTCACCCTATGCTGTCCACACCTCTGCCAGATTTCCCAGGTCATACATCTGGCAGAAGCGCTTATGCTCCACCAGATACTAATGAGCATCCAGATCAGCAGAGGTCACAGAGACAT